TGTTTGGGTTTTCTTTAAGATAATGCTTATAATAGATATGTGGTTATTTCTGGTAACTCTTAATAGACTTTTCTGATTAAGATGGATGATAAGGCTTTAAAGATTTGTTTATAGAGAATGAAGTGAGATATGGGATGAAGAGATTGTTGTATTTTAAGAGTGGTGATAAGAGAGGTTAAATAACATTTAAGAGATGTTAAAGTTATTTATGTTTGCTGTGATAAAGAGGGAAGTTTTTTTCCCTTTCAACTCATTTATCTTTCAAAGTTGGTATTAGTTTTGTATCTACAATGGAATCTTTAATTTTTTTAAAAAGGAGTAAACAAAAACCATTGATTTTTTAAAGTTACAAATGGTTAAGGTCCAGAAATAAGATTTTAGAATTAATTATAAGAATACTTCTTAGGAGAATTTCCCTTGGGAAAATACTGTTATTTCTTTTTTTAAAAGATGATAGGACACAACTTTGAAGGTTGGATATTGAACCTTTGAAGATTCTAGATGGACCTAAAAGATACTAAATAGAATAGAATAGAATTCTTTATTGGCCAAGTATGATTGGACACACAAGTATTTTGTCTTTGGTGCATATGCTTTCAGTGTACATAAAAAGATAAGACACATTCATCAAGAATCATAAGGTACAACACTTAATGATAGTCATAGGGTACAAATAAGCTATCAAATCATACTAGGAAAAATCAATATAAATTGTAAGGATACAAGCAACACATCTAGAGTAAATGTTACAATTAAAGGAGAACACTTAACTTTGACTTACTTATACAGAATGGAGCAAAATATTTTAACGTTGATTGGACATAATAAGAATATATTTGGACAATGGACCCAGAAGCTGATTTTAAGAGTGTTTCTCTCTATAGATAAACTGTGTTTAAATGATGTTACACACGAGGAACATGTTTTAGCAGACAAGACTGAGGTTGATCTGAAAGTGGATTTAAAAATGACAGGCTACATATGGAAAAAGATGCTACATATGGAAAAAGATGCTACATTGGACCTACAAAAATGATGTTTTAATTAAAAAGGACATACAAACCACAAACCAAGAGGATGACTTGGATAAGTTTCCAGATTGGACTTACAAAAGAAACTTGTTAAAGCTTTGAAGAATTTTGTAAGAAGGGACAAAGAAAAAATGACAAAAAATCAAGTTCTAGGATATTATTTGAAGGGATTAAATAATAAGATTGTTAGAGGTAAAATGAAGGAATATAAGGATGGTTTATTTCATCTGTTTAAAATAAATATGTTACCTCTGGTAAGCCTTAATGGAGGAGTTTTGTTGATCAGGACTGAAATGACAAGGTTTTAAAAATTTATTTATAAATAAGAGATGAAATATTGGAAGAAGAAACAATTTGTTGACTTTAAAAAAAGGTGAGATTCAAAGTTAGCTGAATTATTTTCGCTTCTGACTTCCCTAAAAATAATCAACTTCATATTCTCATCTCCTCATACTCAGGCATGTTCCTTTTTTATCAGTTTNTGAGCCAACATTTTGGTTGCTAAACAAGAACATTGTTAAATGAGTTTTACCACATTTTACAAGTTAGCCATGCCCACCCAGTCACATGACTGCCAAGCCACTTCCACCTGGTCACATGGCCAGCAAGCCACTCCCACCTGGTCACATGGCTGGAAGCCACTCCCACAAAGCAGGCCACAACTACAGAAGAGGTTCTAATAAATTTTGAAACCCATCACTGATGCATATATATAAGTATATATACTTAACAATTTTGTAACCTTTCTGGATAAGTATCTTTATGCAGTATTGAGTGATAAGGAATAAGCAAAATAAATTAAAGATAGGAAACTATAAAAAAGAAAATCTAATTAAATTCAGTTTCCACTGACGCTATATCGTTCTGTTCATGCAAACCAACTTTACTTATGTCACATCCTCATCAATATATTGCCCTTAAACATTTTACAACTTTCTCTTTGAGGTTCCTATCAACTACAAGAATCTCATCAACTCTGTTTTGAGGATGTCATCAATTTCATTAACTCAAAATTTTCTCAGTCTTCCTCTAGCTCTTGAAACATTCTTTTTTGTTGCTGTTATTGTTCTAAGTATTTTCCTGTGAGTGCAAAATCTGCTCCTTTTTTAAATCAATCAAGTGTTGATCCATTGGTTTTGACAGGAATTGACTGATCAGCTTGTTGCCCAAGTCTGATGTTATGGCCTAAGAGAAAAATGCATCCAAAGTCACCTAGCTGGCTTTCATACCTAAGGCAGAACTAGAACTCACAGTCTCCTGTTTCCAGCCTGGTACCTTATCCACTGGACTAAACTGGCTCTTTCCCCTTGACCTATTCACTCTTCATATCATTGTTTTGTAACTTCATCTTTATTAATGCTGTCCATTTGACCAAGGCCACCTTAGTATTTTTTTTGGACTAGTTATTTTTATATTCAATCTACAATCATTAATAAACCATTCATCTTTGACCCTATCTTTTCACCATTTACACTTACTTATTTATTAAGAAAATTTATATGGTAATTCAAGCCACTCTTAGTGACTCCAGGCAGCTTACGAGGATAAAACGGCAATCAAACCCCTAGAAATAATTAACAGAACAAGTTCCCTGTTCCAATCCATCTATCTCCCCTTTCCATATTCCGCTTTTGCCATTACCAACCACGCTCACTTTGTTGTNGTTTCTATGGAAACTAGCAAGGAAAGAAAAATATGTGTGCCTCACATCACAAAGATAATGTTAAGTAAAAGAAACAGGCAGCCTACTTCTAACAAGAAAGCCAGGTTTTCATGATGTGCTTTATGACCATTAAGTATGTTATTGAACCACTGTTATTCAGTAGGTCCCTGGCTCACCAGAGTGTTGATTAGTTATATCAGTAAAGTAGGAAGTGTCTCTACAGTCATATATGATCTCTTTTACCAACACAACCTATATTTTATCAAATTCTGTCTAGGCAGTTGTGTTTATCTGATTCCATGTATACAATATAGTGAAGGGCTCCATTTAAAAAAAAACAGCTTTTGAGGGGGGTGTCGGAGTAGAAAATATACATTTAAATGGGTGAATTTCAGAAAACATTAATCTCAGCTGGAGTGTTATGACTCTTATAAGCTGTGTCACATTGGTATTAAATTTCTTTTAGCAGCATAATAGTCATTTTTTGGTTTAAAGGACAAACAGAAGAGCAAACTGTGCTTATGTAATTTATTTCAATCTGTTCTTAATGCCACACTATAATTAGTTACAATGAAGAGGAAATCAGTTTTCCGTCTTAGTTTTTAATGGAGTTAATAGGTTGGATTCTGTTCTTTAACTCCTTTTCCATTGTGTGCACAGTGAATCTGTCACTCAAAACTTAAATGACTGCAATTAAAGAGTTATGTGTATTATCTCAGCCAATTGATATCTCACAGGTGTTAAAAAAAATCAGTTTTCTCCTTCAGAAGAGAAAAAAATAATAACTTGCAATACAGCCATGGGCTTATCTACATTGAATAAAAGGAGTAACAACGGTTTTATTTTGTGGAAAAGACAAGTGAATTAACATTTGATTTCTCCCTGCTCTCAAGCACTGACCACCAGCTTTGTTGTATTTAGGAAGGAATATTATTTTTAAGTGATATATTGAGTGGGGAAAGTCTATTTTTTGAATCTACTTCTGGTCTAGGAACAAACTGGATCAAAATATACCTCAGAGGATCCCAGAGTAAATAAGGGTATTTCTGGCGTTACAAATCTGGACATCACACCATCTGTATAAAATGTTTATACATCTCTACCACATTATCCATTTAAATAATACATCATCGTAATCCAGGAAGTTAGGTTTATCTGATCTAATAAGTTGGTATGAAATTTATGACTGCATAGCGACTCTTCTGGAATGACTTGAAGCCCAAACAGAAAATATAATCTACAAAGTTTATATAAACTTTTTTTGCTTTTATCTGATTTTTATCAAAGTAAACTGCTTTCAAATATTATTCCCATGGTGAATTTAGCATACTAAATATCATGTGACTTTGAGAAAAGCATATAGGGGGAAGAAAAGAAAAGAAATACATTTTTCTCTCCATTAAAAATGTTGCAAATATATTTAAGTTGAGTAGGATGTACAGTTTTCATGGCTGAAAGGATAAATTTAGTAGTATAGTGATATAATTTTGAAGAATTGATTCATACATCCCATTACTGTTCCTATATCATGAGAAAGTTTTAGTAGGAACATAATTGTTAAATCTAATATACAGTATAAAGTACAATTTGAGTAGTTTTCCAAGCATACAGGCAAATGGATTCTGTGTTTGGAACAAGTACATAATGATAGAAGCTCATCTTTATTTATGCAAAATAAATATTTTAGAGAATATTGAACATAACAATGTAAGATGTACCATAACCTTAGATGAAGCTAAATACCTTTTTATTCCATCATTTCCTTAACAGTAAGAAGTGCTTTGGAAAGCCAACAATAGGACAAGAGCATCTGGTTTACATAAAATCTTAGAACAAGTTTGAAAGGACTTCATTAATCATTTAGTCCAACTTATAGAGATAGCCCTGAAGCAGGAATTCAACAACATTATGTTAAAAAAATCAGCTTAGTCAAAATATACAGGAAGGGGGGGGGGATGAAGATTGCCAAGTCTTGATTCAAGATTCTGTTATAATACCCTATAACAATAAAATTTCAGTATCTTATGTGATGTTTATTTCCAGATTTGATCTATGTTGCAGGGCAGATATTTCCTTCCCCACTTACATTGATGAACACAGATAGAATATTCACAAATACCTCAATAAGCAAAATTCTCCTTCAAATTCTAGTACACATTTTATGGCATTACTGGATTTTTTTTTCTTCAGTTTATTCATTTTTTTCCATTGAAGGCAGCTTGTTGTAGACTTCCTTTAAATTTTTAAAAAATACATTTTCCCATTTTTTCCATTTAAATTAATATTGTCTTTTTTTCCCACAACAGGAAGATGACGATGATAATCAGCCCCTCAGCCTGGCCTGGCCTGATACGCCCCGGAAACAGCTTACGTATCTGGTTGTTTTGCCTATCGTTTTTCCATTATGGGCAACTCTACCTGATGTTAGAAATCCAGTGAGAATTACTGTTTTAACTTTTATACATGAATTGGTATGCAAAATATGTTTGTAAAGGACAGATCTAGCCTTGATACTATTATTGAGTATACATAAATAAGTTCATTTTTAGCTTCCATTAGATTGCTTGGGAGAGAAAATACTTGATAAAAAATGTCATGATAAATGACATTCGGCTTGAGCTTTTGGAGACCTTGCTTGGCAGACAATAACAGTGAATACATTGCCATTTACTTGTATAAATATTTAATGGCAACCTATAAAATATTGTATTAATAGTTCTTTTATGTTTGTCTGCATGCCTTCTTCTTTAGATGTCTATTAAACTTCATTTGCAGAAGAAATGTTCCTCTTGGACTATGCAGACACCCAACATTTTTTCCATCAACAACAACTCTAAAGCTTCTGCTATAATTTAACATTATTTTAAATCCCAACAAGATCCATTCAGTCTAAGCTCTTTTCAGAATCATTGATTTCAAAAGGCAAGATTGGAATAAATGGTCTTCCAGAGTGGGCAAAAGACCTCTTGGGTCTCTTGAACTCAGCTTTCTCTCTTCAGCTTCCCTCTCAGATCACCAAGATTGGGCAAGATTGGGTTTTATTTTATTCATCAAATTTGTTTAGCTATTCATCTCACAAAAAGATGACTCTGGGCAGCATACAGCAAGCAATAAAAACCAATGTAAAAAGAACAAATATAAAGACATAAACATCCTCAGTAATACATAAATATTATAAAAACAAATGTATAAACCCTAAGCAAAGAGAGGAGAAAAATGGCCACCTTAGCAATGGAGCTATTGAAGAATGTCTTTGGTTCTCTGGGAGCCCCAAGTCTGATAACATAACCAGGTCTTGAGGGACCTTCCAGAATAGCAAAAGGCTGCAAGGCATGGAGCTAATCTAATTTGGGAGGGTGGGAGGGTATATGTTCCAGAAAATGAGCACCGTGAGAAGGTAGGTTCCCTGGAACGCCCCAAACGTAGTTCCCTTAATTGATGGTACCCACAGCATGTTTTCTCTACCAGATCTAATGGGGCAGGCTGATGTAAGCGGGTAGAGGCGGTCCCTCAGATAGCCCAATCACACGCCATGATGGATTAGTTAGCCTAAATCTGTTATCTTTAGTCTTCAGACTGTCACAACTTTCTTAGCTTCAAACCCTGACAGAGCAAGAAAGCCAGTCCATGCTTTTCAATTTAACAACCCTCCATATTCATTTGTAAAGAAGTGCTACAAAGCCCTTCTAAAAACCAAAGATCAGGAAAGCTACAAGAGAGGAGTAGAATACATCAATTGCCTCAGTTTCCTGATTCTGGCACTTAATTAACAGTTTTCGGTTAGGGATTTTGGTCCAATCTACAAATTTATTTATGTATATGCATATGTTAAATTTGGAGACCACCATCTCATTGAGATCTGCTGGAGGATTGCTTTGAACTGTCCACAAATCTTCCCTAAAAACATCTTGTCCACAAAACACCTCCATTTTTTAGGCTCCATGAGAAAGAATTGGTCTAAGACCAACCAGAGGAAATCCATCTCTCATTCCTGTAACAGATAGCACTGTACTGTCTACACAAGCCAATCCTCCTCAGCTTTTCCTAGGTTCACGAAAAATCTTTCACCTCAGAGAAATTTACTACAAGTGCTTCTGGGCCCATAACCTATCAAGTAATTGCACAACAAGTGTTCAAATGACGTCAGAGATGTGTGCACAAACTTATAATTTTATATGAATAAATATATTTACCATTTAGATTTACAGCAGACAGGATAGTCAGGAACATCATGAGGTAAATCAAGCAGCATAGAGAACACACAGAAGAAAAAAGGTGGGGAAAAAGGGAAACTCCCCCTTGACACCCACAGCAACCAATCATAGCGTAGATTACCTCATGCAGGAGCCAGCCCTCTCCAGTCAATCAACTGCAACTGTGCCCATTGTACGTTTTACTGTTCCAGCTACTAAATTTAATATCTCAACATATATTTATATATTAAATTTGGAAACCAGCATCTCACTCACAGAGCGACTTCAAATATCCTCAGAATCTTGAGAAAACTTCTTCCAAATATTTTTATCACCTTGGACAATCCAGCTGTGAATTACTCTTTTCCAGTGACTTACTTCTCTCTCCTCCTATGTCCACATTTCAAATGAAATACCTTTATTTCTCCACCAAAATCTGAAAATAACATTGGAGGATAGTTTCCCCCAGAATTATTAAAGGAGAACTTGGAATGGTGAACATCAATCCAGGCTACCCATATTCAGCCTATTTTCTTTTTGGTTAGAGCTACTCCATTGTTACCTTGTTTTATAATAACAAAAGAAATAGGTTAGCCCCTGCCAATGGTAGACTTACCCAGCTTGCTTAATAGAACTAACCAGCAATATCTGTATTTCAAACTATTGAACTGGATTAAAATTGAAACATCTTAGTTGAGGAACAGGCAATCTGTTCAAAGCCCTGGTCAATTTAAAATTAATCTTTGATTTAATTCAGAGGGAGAAACTGTGGGGAAAACTAAGTGTAACTTCAATAGAGAAAGGTTACCTCTTCTCATGTAGCTTTTCCACTTCAACACAAGTTTGACATGTATAATTTACCCAGGGGGAACCTCTCTGCAGTTGTCAGTATTAAAGAGGAATGAGGCAGGAAGTGTCTCATTCCTAACCTTTCTGCTTTTTAACTTATGTTTGTACCTTTACTTAAGCAGCCTATTTGGGACATTGTTTTTCAAATAACTTAAAATTTGGTCCCAGTCTCAGCAGTACATGGCATCTCTTCACATGTGTATATGCCAATCTCCTCTCTTTCTTCCACCAGTTCTGAAATTGTGCTATGGCTTCATTCTGGTCAAGGGTGTCAAACTCAATTTCATTGAGGGCTGCATCAGGTTGTGTTTGACTTTTGGGGGGCCGGGTGGGCATGGCTGGGGTGGAAGGAAGGAAGGAAGGAAGGAAGGAAGGAAGGAAGGAACTTACTTTATAAAAATACCAGAAAGAAAGAGAGCCAGCCTGCTTCATAAGCAGGGAAGAATGACAATATGGCTCCAGCAAAAACGGAGCTCTGGAGGGCCACATGCGGCTCTCACGAGGTCTGTTTTGGCTGCAATGGTCTCTTGCAGTGCTCTGCCAGTGAAAACGGAGCTCTCCGTTTTCACTGGTAGAGGCACTGTGGGCCTATCCTTTGCTGTTTCCAGGGTGACCCCGTGGGCTAGATCTAAGAACACTGTGGGCCGGATCCAGCCTGCAAGCCTTGAGTTTGACACCCCTGGGCTAGATGCATCACTTTTTATTTGGGCATTTCAAAAGTCCTTGAGCTACATGCTCTTTGATTGCTCTTTCTACAGATTTTTATCCATTCTGTCTAGAAATAATTACCTAACAGAGAGTATTACATATATTAATTGTTCTTTTTTAACCTTCCATTTTTTTCTTTTAATTTGTATCTAATTGTTGGCTTTGTGATTATACAGTAATAAAAAATTGAGTTGAACATGAATTTGATTTCAATAGATAAAAATAAAGAAAGAAATCAAGTTTGGCACAAGTAGTTACAAAACTTGGCAAATCTCCCTGACTATTTGTAAGTGATTTGGTAATAGAGGAAACAAGGGATATATAATCACATAAAATTATTCTCTATAACAGCAGGGAAAAATTTGAATTCCATATTGTGAATCATTATGAAAGGGATCAAAACTAAAATTGCCTAAATTTTATCAACAATGGAAAAGTTCCAGTTGCCAGAACTGCGTTTTAATGAAAAACTAGTGTTTTAGAACAAAAAAGCGAATAAGAAATATAAATATAAATACTAGTTTTTGTCCTTCCTTGAAGTTATTATATGGATTTCTCATTTTTGACAAAATATTTCAAAACTGAAAAGGATCTTGCTAATGTTTATAGTTACTGAATGCAATCATAGCATACCAATTGTAAATAGTTACTAAGTTGAGAAACTTACCTTTCCTTGGTAGTTTTTATAGTGACATAAGAAACTGAATTTTATCTAATGTATGCAGTCCCAAATAATAGAGTAATTTTTAATGGATGGGTTCCATGTTAATTCAATGACATTTGGTTTGAAATTGATAAACCCAGTCACACTGCACTGTATATGCTATGTTCAAGTTGAAAGGCTTATGATAATACCAAATGAGTACACTTAACATTTTTATTATTATTCTCTTTCAGCCATCCAAAAAGTTTTTCCCTTTGACATTTTTTGGATCAATCACTTGGATAGCTGTATTTTCTTATCTAATGGTCTGGTGGGCACATCAGGTGAGCTATTTGATGGATTTGCTCTTACATTTTGGCTTATATTTAATTAATTGCATTGATTGATTCAATAATTAATTGAACATTATTGTTTAATGTAAATTGCCCGGAGTTGGGAAAGCCTCTGAATTTCATAAATGAATAAAATTGCAGTTTAAATATTTCAGTAGATCTCATGCTCATGCATTTTCTACATTGGCATTTTAAAAGACAGGCTTTTTACTGATTTTAGTTTTCTACCTTGATAATTGAGCGTGCTATATATATAGAAGGGGATATCAGAATTGAGAGCTGAAGCAGTTTCACCTTCAGAGTTGACAGCTATATTTTTCCATCCAAAATAAATTTCCAAAGTCTCCTATAGTATGGGGAAGAAAGAAATTCAGCTGTCTTAAATAAATAAAACATTACAATGGTCAGAAATTTCATTATCAACATAAAATTAAAAGGTCATAATTTTTGGACAATTAGAAGAAGAGCTAAGAAAGGCTGAAAACAACCAAATCTTTGTTATAGCCATAGGCCAGGATAAGAAGAAGATACCTGGTTAAGACCAAATATGCTGAGTACTTCAGAGACAGACCAGGAGAATCAGAAGTATTTTCGCCTTATTGACCATCTTTAGCTCTAAAGTAGTGGCTAAGACTCTGAGCTTGTCAATCAGAAAGATCAGCAGTTTGGTGGTTCGAATCCCTAATGCCATGTAACGGAGTGAGCTCCCGTTACTTGTCCCAGCTTCTGCTAACCTAGCAGTTCGAAAGTATGTAAAAATGCGAGTAGAAAAATGTAAGTAGAAAAGTAGGGACCACTCTGTTGGGAAGGTAACAATGCTCTATGCACCTTCGCCGTTTAGTCATGCCGGCCACATGACCACTGACATCTTCAGACAGCGCTGGCTCTTCGGCTTAGAAATGGAGATGAGCACCACCCCTAGATCCGGAAACGATTAGCACGCAAGTGCGGGGAACCTTTACCTTTACCTTATCTCTAAAGTTGGGACAGTCAGAAAAGGGCTCCCAAGATGAACTTGAAACAGCCCCTTTGGAGAGAAAGTAGCTCTTCAGGTAACCAAGTCCTTACATACTCCAGACTATTAGCTTTTCAAAATAAATAAAATTAATGGAAAAAGGCATTTCAGAAGGGAATGATACAGTCTTAGAAACAAATTTCTCTTTACAGAAGCCTTTTGTAATATCCATAGAATTGCCCAGTGTTGTTGACTAGTGTATTACATGAAGAAGGCATTCAGCTGATGCTCTCAGAGATAGAAATATTTCAATTTATGAATGACTTTTTTTCTGGATGAAGACTTTAATGCTCTTCATAATGCTTTGTCTCTTTATACAATTACTTGGTGCATGTGATCTAATCTGTTAATATATCACTATTATCTTTATTTTCAAAGTAACACTCACATTCTATTTTTATATTAACATTTATGTTGATTTTCTGCACCAAAGCAGTTAGTAGCAGTCTAGATTAAAATAGCTTTATTTTAACAAACTAACATTAAAGCAATGCTGTTTTTAAAAAATCCTATAGTTTTGAAAGCACAAAAGAAGTATCAGCAACAAAGAGTAGGCAGGTTCAATAAAACAACCCAACTAATTGTTAGCCACTATTAGAGACTGAAAGAAGGTGACTAAAGTAAGTAGATTATGAAATGACAAATATAGCAGTATTATGTACTTTTACACTGTGGATCCCTAGTCAGTCCCTTTCTTTCTGTACAGATATATCTTGACTTACAACAGTTCATTTAGTGACCGTTGAAAGTTACAACAGCACTAAAAAAAGTGACCTATGATCATTTTTCACATTTACACGTGTAGCAGCATCCCCATGGTCACATTATCAAAATTCAGACATTTGGCAACTGACTCATATTTATGACAATTGCAGTGCCCCAGGGTCAGTGATGCAATTCAGCCAGTTTTATCCAGTTCAGGTGAACCGGTAGCAGTGGCAGCGGGAAGCTCTGGCCATCTGCCCAGATGTCATCACATACTCTTTTTGATGCTCTGCCCATGTGCGGAAGTGACGTGTGGGCTCACATTTGCGAACTGGTAGTGAAGATAAACTGATTTCACCCCTGCCCAGGGTCATGTGATCAGCTTTTGCTATCTTCTCACACGCAAAGTCAATGGAGAAGCCAGATTCACCTAACTGTGCTACTTACTTAACTGCTGTGATTCACTTAGGGAATGTGGCAAGAAAGGTCATAAAATGGGACAAAATTCATTTAACAAATGGCTCACTTAGCAACAGAAATTTTGGGCTCACCTGAGGTCATAAGTTAAGAACTACCTGTATTTTGCAAATGATTTCAGTGGTTCTTTCCCGGTTTAGGTTGGAGAGACCATCGGGATCAGTGAAGAAATCATGGGCTTGACCATCTTGGCTGCTGGTACCTCCATTCCTGACCTAATCACCAGTGTCATTGTGGCACGAAAAGGACTAGGGGACATGGCAGTCTCCAGCTCTGTAGGAAGTAACATCTTTGACATCACCGTGGGGTAAGTACTATTACAATGTCATCTCCTTATATATTCCATTCCTTTACTTTTACTTTCAGGTACCCAAGATTATAGATCTGGGAGTCTAAGACTTTGTGGCACATTGCTTTGATCAATAGGGAGGTATTGAAATAAGGAAATGCACAAGAGAATGCACAGCATACTGAGAATCTCTGCTAACCTACATGAACTTTAGTAGTTACACCTACTTGAGCTTTACACACTGAGACATACAAACTCACTCTCTTGTGCTCTTGCTCAGCTACAAAAGTGTTAATGCACGTAGTTGGGGAGGACACGAGTTCTCAGCAGATGTTGATGGAAGCATGCCAACTGGAGATCTGACAAAATTCTATTGCCTTGCCTTTTATTCTCTGTTAGTTGCATTCCATCTTGCATTACCTCAACTTTTCTTTCATTGAAGGTTAGGTTGCTAAGTCACACGTGGCTTGTTATACAGCAGTTATCTTTCTTACCTCCAATATTTATTGAATTTCAAAGCTGAGTTCCATATCTCTTCAGACTGCTTGCTCCTATAAGTATTCTTCTCTGTGGTTGAATTTTGGTCATTGCATTCTATATGCTTTTCCCAGCAAATGGCTATAATTGGAAGAAAACAGCACAATTTACACACAAAACAATCCAATTCAATGGTGGGAAGACACAGCCTCCTATTTCAGTAGTTGGGTAAAGAGAAAAGTCTTCAAGAATCGTTTGAAAATAGTCAGGATCAGGTCTTTGCAGACCCTGGGAGAGTGTCATTCAAGTTCAGCAACAGAGAAGGCCCATTACCTGGACTGAGCAAATTGATATTGTTTAATGGATGGGATCCAAAGCATTCCAGCCCTATCAGTTCTTACTAAATGGAAGAGTCAATTGAAGACAAGCAATCACACTAATATCCAAGCACTTACAAATGATACGCCGCACAATAGATGTGTTATATGAGTGACTGCATTCAGGACCTGCTGTAGCTTCCGAAGTGGCTGTTAAAGAAAGAGCCATAACAGACTAGGGCTATTTCATTCATCACTTAAAAATTTATGTAAATATAAATCAAGATATGGTAAAATGTTAATGCCTCATCTCTGCTTCAAAAGAATAGTATTTTCAAATTCTGAAAGAGCTATTCTAGATTTTAGTCTTGCTTCTTGTTATAGAGAGGAAGGGAGGGAGAAGGAGACTGGGGGGGAGTTAATCAATTACACAACCCCCCCTTCTCTTTTTGTACATTTTGTTTCATTTCCTTTCCATTATGGTTGATCAAATTTTATCTGAATTTTTAAATGTATGGTTCTTATTTATTGTTTTAATGTTTTATGTGGTATTTTATATAGCTAATATGGTATTTTTATTGAATGACTGTAAGCCAACAGTAGTTGGATAAAGAGAAAAGTCTTTAAGACTCTTTTGAAGATAGTCAGGGTCAGATAAGATGGGCAGCACAAGGTTGACTCAGGCTTCCATGCTTCCAAGATGGGTAAAATGAGGATCCAGATTATTAGAGGCAAGAGGCTGACTCTGTAAAGCGCTTAGAGAGGATTGTAAAAAGCACCATGAAACGGTATATAAGTGCTATTGCTACTGTATTGACTTACCATCATAAAAGAAATTGTACTGAAATATGCTTCTACCTCTCAGTACTCAA